GGTGTACACAGCTGTGTGCATGTGAAGGACATTGTTCTGAAAACGATTAATAGAGTGTATTAACTCATTTTATTAAAATGTTATTTTTATTTAGAATGTCAACTTATTTTTAATTTTCAAGTCGTTTTTATTCATACGTTTGATGAAATAAAATATTATGAACATGAATAGAAGTTTATATTTTAGTATAAAGGTTTGTTACATAGGGGTGGGGGGGTGTTGGGGAAGGGATGTATAAAAAAAAATTTGAGGAGTTGTTTGGGGTAGCATCTAGTGGTAGTTGCTACCTGTATTAAAATTTTATTGTTGTGCTATTGTATTAAAATTTTAATATCATCCCTAAATTTGTCGACCCCAAAAACCTACAAATTGAAATCAAACACGAAATTTCAGATAAAATGTAAAAATTTTGACATTTATACAACAAAATGGCCGCCATATAATTAAATACAGTTGAAAATATTTTCAAATAAGTTGTTTTAGTATAAAAAATAAAATTAAATTGGGTTTTTACAAAGAAAAAAAAAGTATTTATATGCCTAAAAGCCGTTTTTTTGACCCTCGCTTTAATGACTTCATACCGGTGGTGGGGGGCTCCAAAATTTTGAGGTCTGGGGCATTTTTTGATGCTTGGTATATGTACTATCCATATTCAAAAATTCAAATTCGCCGCCAGCACTGAAATATTTTTATGCTATCCGACCCCACTAAGAGCTAAAAAAGTGTAGATAAATTCATCAAGGACTTATCACTGGAATATTTTTTCAAAAAAAATATATGTGCGCCACTGATTTTTTTTTGATATCAAAATTATATAGGCCGTGTAATGCCAATTAAAAGATATCTCTTGATATTTTGTCGAATTCGGTCTCCTTGATTAGATAAACGCAATTTTATTAATCACAATTAATAAAATCAAAATAAAAATAATATTAAAATTATATATTTTACGTAATTTATTATTAAATAATACTAGTATTACTTATTACTACTATTAGTCCAACTTACAGAAATTTCAAATAAAAAAATAATGATATTTAAGAAAATTACAAAAAACTAATTTTAAAAAGTTTTTACATACTGTAACTCTAAAACTATGCATTGCTATACCGATATTTATACCAACATTTTATCATATTTTTTGATAATAAATCAATGAGTACTTATTTCAAACTTTTGCATGTTAATGATCTTACATTTTTTTAAAGGTTGCTATTGGACTTGGATCAAGGCAAATTAATAAAAAAATATAAAGAGAAAACTTTTAATCGGCATTAAACTGTTTACACTATTTTGCTAGCAAGAGAAAAAAGAAGTTAGTGGCGTACATGCTTTTTTTAGAAAAATATTCCAGTGGTAACCCATGCACCTCTCTGGTGATAATATCGACATTTTTTTAGCATTAATATATGTCGCATTTATAATAACTTTTACCCTCAAAATTTCATTCGAATCCTTAAAAATGCTTGAAAGAAAATTATAATAAATCAAAAAAATATTAAGACTTTAACACCCTGTAGCTACAAAACAAAAGCTAGCAGAATCGGACCTATATTGATATAAAAAATAAACCTTATTTTTACGTGAGGAATTTCCCCACTAGAGCACATGTTTTTTGAAACACCCTGTATACAAACTTTCGCGTTTATAATATTAGGAAGAATAATATGTGCACGTCCAGTTTTTAAGAAATTGTCATCAATTGTGATTGACACGCTGATTAATTTTTAAATAACATAACAATTATAATTTAGTTTTTTTACAGCTTTATTGCGGAAAGTAATTTACTTTCTTCACTAGTGCGGCAAGAACCTATTCACCGTACTAAAATGGTTGAAGAAAATGTGGATTTTTTGCACAAATACGGGAAAAATAATTTGTAAAATAAAACAAGAATTAAGGTTATGGCATTCAACAAATATTTTAATATACTTGATAATATAGAGACAGGATAAGATGCGGGGTTTCATTATAACAATACATTTTTATCGCTTGAAAAATATACCAGACAACTACCTTCGACGCGATGGCCTGATACAGAAAGAAAAATTACTGTTAAGGGGTCATCAATCATTTTTTATTGCTAGAAAAGGGAAAATTAATGGAGGTTTATACGTTTCTTGAAATGTTTTTTCGTTTGATTTATTGTATTTGTCTTATTTATTGACAATATTTATTAAAACAAATTGTTAGAATTAACCTTTAAAATTTATTAAATATTATATCAACACTTTTCTGAGTATTGTGTATTTTATCTTTCAATATTTCCAAACAGTAAAAAACCAACTATGAAAACGGCTTCATAAAAGCTGTTTGATGAATTAATGTTGAATTGGAAATTACAGTTTAAGAGAGAGTATAAATAGTGCTGAGTCTGTGGTTGGTTCCTTGTGAAACATCGTTGAAATATTAGTAAAATTTAGTAATTATTTAAAAGTTTTATTCTTACTGAATTGTTACTGTCTTTTCTGCGAAGTCGTTAATGACATTCTCATTTAATTTGTGACTGAATAAATCAATTACCCTATAAAAAGCAGATATTCCATTTCATGAATCTCTATGTATATTATCACAGATAACACATAATATTATATAAGTCCAGGGACTTTGACTAGTAATACTGACTGAAAGTTATTTGAAACTAATATAAAAACAACTATATTAGTAGACTGAAGAATGTAGAATGAGGGGGAGGGGGAGGGGACTAATCACTGCGACATTAAATATCTACTGTCTCCCTCTTCCTTGAGTTATAACTCATCATATGGTCTACAAGTTCATACCAAATAAACTTTTAGTCATGTGATTAACATTGACCGGCACATGGTTTGTCCATTTCTATATATTTTCTTTTAATCAAAATATTTTAGGAAACAAAAATAAATTAATTATAAATATATAAACAGATATTACTTACATCAACAAAACTCGCCTTCTTAACAGTGCTTAAAGGACATAAAGAGCCATTACTACCGTTTTCCCGTTCAAAATATTCCAATAAAGTTATATAGCGATGAATTTTTTACGGCTATTAAGGTATCAAAAAAGAACAATGTTTGAAAGGGCTGCTAATTAATTTATTTAAATCAAAAACAAAAAATGTGTCAAAACGAATAACAATGTCAGGAAATAAATAAGTAAATGTGGCAACTTGGCATTTTTTAGAGCAGAGCTACCACCTGAATCCCTAGCGAAATTTAAATTCCAGTTAGTTAGCATGGTACCGAAATGTCCATGGTTGGCAACAATGAATTTAAAAATCGCGCCCTCGATTTAGAAGTTTAATTTTGATATGAAATATAATAACCCATCATACATAATGATTTTCCTATTGTAAGGAGGGACAGGGTATTTCCCATCCTCCTCTGACAACAGATGTTCTTCCTCCGAGGGTTACTCCCTTCCATAGTTGGGGTTTGGCCCTCCGTTTCACAGTCGACGAGCTTGTCTCCGGCTGATGTACCCGTGAGGCGGAAGCTGGAGGATCTGTCTTTATTTTCTCTATCTCATTAACTTGGTCTCTCCTTAGACCTGATACCGGTGCTATCCTAAATCTATAATAGAGGTTATATCCCTCTTTCTCTATTGCCTCTTTGGATTCGAGGTCAATTCCTATTGTGAAGACCTGACCATGACCCTCCTCCGTCGAGTGGATGATTTGCCAACTCGATGTCCGTAAGGACATCGAGTGTTCTTCTGGAGTTCTGAGCCTGGATTGGCCTCAGCAGGTAGTTGGTGTCTTTTCCCTTCATACAATATTGCTGTTTAAATATGCCACAAGTTTTATTAGGGATTGTTGAAAAACACCACTCTCAATATTTATTTTGTAATACATACCTTATTTTTTTATAATATTTATCACTGGAATATTTTTCAAAAAAAAAACATGTGCGCCACTGACTTTTTTCTTTTGATATCAAAATTGTGTAGGCAGTTTAATGTCAATTAAAAGTTATCTCTTAATATTTTGTCGGCCTCCTTGATGAGATAAACGCAATTTTATTAATCACAATTAATAAAAATAAAATTATATATATTATCTAATTTATCATTAAATATTATTACTATTAGTCCAAACTACAGCAATTTCAAATAAAAAAAAATAATGTTACTTAAGATAATTACAAAAAGCCTAATTTAAAAAAGTTTTAACATCCTGTATCTCTAAAACTATGCATTTCCATACCCATGTTTATAGGAACTTTTTTTCATATTTTTTGAGGAGGAATCAATGAGTACTTATTTAAAACTTTCGCAAGTTAATGATATTATTTTTTTTAAAAGATGCTATTGACTTGGATCAGGGCAAATTAATAAAATAGCGTTTAACTCATCAAGGAAGCCGAAATCGACAAAATATCAAGATACAGCTTTTAATCCGCATTAAACTGCTCACACTATTTCGCTAACAAGAGAAAAAAACTCAGTGGCGTACATGCTTTTTTTAGAAAAATATTCCAGTGATAACCCATATGCACGTCCCTGGTGAATATGTCGACACTTTTTTAGCTTTAAAATATATCACATTTATAGTAACTTTTACCCTCAAAATTTCATTCGGAACGCTAAAAGTACTTGGAAGAAAATTATAATAAATCGAAAAAATATTAAGACTTTAACACCCTGTAGCTACGAAACAAAGCAGAATCGGACCTATGTAAATATGAAAAATAAATCTCATTTTTACATGAGGAATCTCCCCACGAGAGATGGCACAAGCTTTTTGAAACACCCTGTGTATAATCTGTATTAAAAATACAAGCACAGAGTACAAGAACATAAAATCAAAGAACGCAGATACTTTTCATTACAAATTTATTGGAAGGCTAGGCACGTAAAAACAAACATACAGTTGGCAAAACTGCGAAGTTGCGATTAGTATGCGCTGAAATTTTTTATTTATACCTACTATTTATATATTACTTCTTACTCTATGTCGATTAGTATTTAAGACATCATTATTTAACTGTAAAATACTACCAATAAGATCCTCTGATCAGTTTCAGTTCTCGTTGTGCATCATGCATTGGCGAGTCAAGTCGGGCCCAATGGTTCCGCCACTCGGACGGTTGGAAATCCGGAAGTTCAACTTTCAGCTCGTCACAAGGACCGGTGGTCACCGGACACAAGAGGTCACCTTGGGATTCGTTGCCATCCTTGCGTCAAGACAGTAGTATGAACGACAGCGGATACAAAAGTAATAGGGCAGATAGTTTTGAGCAGAGGTTAGTGTTAAACATAAATTGTTATTTCTGATTGAGAAATTTTGATATTTTGTTAAACAAACAATACATTTTTAAATAAACGCTATTAGGAGCTTTACTCTGGTCTTAATTCTAGAACTCCCGGATTTTTTACAACAACAACAACAACAACAACAACAAACAACGCATTATTGTGAAACAGCTTCATCGACAAAGGACTCACAAAACAAACAAAAGCACAAAAAAATATACAAACAACAAAAATACACAATACAAATCATACAATTCAAAAAAATTTAAGTCATTAAAATTACAAAAAGAACATACATGGATAATTGCAGAACAGTAAACAGTAAATAGATATAATTTTAAGAGTTATAAAATATTAAATACTTGACCTTTGACCAGTGTGTGAGATGATCAAAATTTTAAAATTCAAAATTGTTCATAATTAAACATCAATAACAAAGTCGTTTACCTCATATAGGGCTCTCTCCAGTAAGTATGATTTCAGAGCTTTGCGAAATGCGGGAAAGAATGAAAGCGACTTGATATTCAAAGGCAGATGATTGTACATTTTTTGGCATTGTATAGTATTGAACCTTTAACTAAATAGTTCTGAACTCGGGGTTGGCAGATAAAGATCGTGCTGCGCATTCTAAAGTGAGATGGACTTTCGAGAATAGCAGATATGTGCTTGCGGATTAAGCAAACGGATTCAAAAATGAATAAAGAAGGAAGAGTCAGTATTTTGAAATTTTTAAAGAAATTCTGGCAGTGAGTTCTACTGTTCAGTCTCAATAAATATCGAACTACTCTCTTTTGAAGTCCCCCAGAATGGATGGCATAACGAATATGTGACTCAAAAATGGCATAATAGGCTATTCTAGAGGGTGATAAGTTAAGTTCCTTAGAAACTCATGTTAGCGCAAACCAGGCAGCGCTTAGTTTCTTTGATAGAGCTTCGATGTGAAAGTCCCATTTTAACGAGTTGTCTACAACAAGTCCTAAGAATTTCACAGAGTCCACGACGTCAATAGTGGTGTTATTAAGTACAAAAGGTTGTATAGTACTTTTATATGACAAAACTTTAGTTTTTGATAGGTTGAGGCATAGGAGATTAGAATCGCACCAAGATTTAATGGTGCGTAAGTCACTGGATATAGTATCATATATTGCTGTAACATCTGGGCCGCTCCAAGTGAAACTAGTATCGTCCGCAAAGAGGCAGATTTTACCGCTAATGTCTAGATTTGCAATGTCGTTGATAAACACCAGAAACAAAATAGAGGGGCAAGTACTGAACCCTGAGGGACACCACATTCTATAGGCTTAGAAGAAGACATAGACGTATCAATCCTCACAAGCTGCCTAGATATCTGTTGCCAAGATATGACTTAAGCCACTCGAGCGGCACTCCCCTGAATCCATAGTATTGCTATTTGTTAATTAAGATATTATGATTTACACAGTCGAAAGCCTTAGAGAAATCACAGAAAACTGTAGCTGTAGAGGGATGGTTATTCAGACTTGAATATACATTATTAAAAAGGTCAAACATAGCATCATTTGTGCAACTGTTACTTAGAAATCCATCCAAAATGAAGGGTAGTAAGTATTTTATATTTAAGGAGAAAAGATAGACATTTTTTTACACATAGTTCTTGACTTGTTTTCGGGCAATCTGTGGTATAACAATATGTAATATTTCTAGTAGGTATTATAAAAGAACGGGGGGTAAACTAATATCAGGCTGTGTGTACGTTTGTGTTAATCTAATGGCGAAAAAGATGTTTTCAAAAGATTTTTACATCTATGGAGTGTGTAAATACTTTTATTTTGTCTGTGGATTGTGACTAAGTGTCTACGATATTGTTTATTAATTATTTTAAAGCAAAATATGGAAGCACTCTAAAAAGAATGCCTACCAAAGAAATTACATGATTTTCAACATCTTTTTTATGGAAAAAAACCTCATAGACGCGTTCCTGGGCCGAAATATACCACCCCTGAAAATATTTGCACTTATTTAAGACTCACTGTGTATCGGTATTCTATAAAGTTCCTAGGTATTCCATAAAATGTCTTTTTTTTTCGATGAGGAGGGAAAAAATCTTCCATAAGACACCATAGTTGGGTTGTGCCGGATTCCTACCGGCTAAAAAAACCCTCCTCGGTCAAGTAAGCACACCACACCGGAACCGCTTACGCATTACTTCTTACTGTTTCCCATAATAATTCACCTCCCTCAAGGCTTCTCATCAAGTTCGTTTCAGTAAAATACAGTCCACTCTCCTTCTTAATTCCATATTTTCCTTTATCCCACTGATCCCGCCACTTCTCCATCACAGTTTTCCTTGCTATTTGTTTGAGCTCTCCCTTGTTTGCTCGTTCATGAGCTAATAAGTGGATAGGAGGGATGCCCGCAATGACACCAACTGCCTCAGTAGATACAATTCTGTAAGCGCTACAAACTCTAATACATAATTTGCGCTGCAGAGCTGTTATTTTTTGCTTTGTTTTTATTTTGTCCATTGCCTTACACCATACCGGAGTTGCATATAACAATTGTGAATGTATTACGCTTACAAGAATTCTACGCTTTGATGACCTAGGGCCCCCTATGTTCGGCATTAGTTTTGATAATGCTGCTAGAGTTTTTTTCCGCTTTAGTGATTGTTTGGGTAACATGTTCATAGAATCGTGTTATACTATCTAGCGAGACTCCGAGGTATTTTACAGCATTCTTAGGTACGATCAATGTTCCCTTAACATCAAAAAGAATGGGTGCCAGTTTTCGTTTAATGGTTAGAATTACCGCCTCTATCTTTGTGGTCCATCCATTTAAAAATTCTCAAGAGGCCGGTGTTAGCTTTATTCATTAGTATTTCTTTGTTATTAGCAATCACTACCATGGCTACATCATCTGTAAAATCAATGAGAGTATCGCGGACGGTCCGCTCCATCTGAAAGCGCTGTAAACATAAATATTATAAGAAAAATATATTTTAAAACATGTAGTTTATAAATGTCGGAGGAAAACGGTCCCAAATAAAAAAGACACATGTTTTTGTGCATAAAGAAGTTTTTACATTCATTTATTTACATTAATTATTTTATTTTGTGTGAAATTATTGATGAATATCAATAATTATATTCAGTACCCGTCTATACGCGCGTTGTCACTATTCTGACTTCCACCAGCTGCCGACTGACGGGGTTCTATTATTGACGTGTTTGTTTTCACTATTACCTTACAAAGTTTCAGCCTTCAGAAATCAATTTGAGGGGCACATTTTTTGACAGCGCGTTTGAGGTAGCGCCGACGCTTTGTGTTCCCATACTGCTCTGTCTGACTGTTATATTTTTGTTTTACATTGCATTCGAATGTTATCTAAAAATTTTCAACCTTTAGAAGACAGTTTGGAGGTGCTCATTAAAATTACAGCGATTACCTTTGCGAGCTTCTGAGCACCAGGTGTCCCGGTAATACTTTGCGGTAATAGGATTGCTGACTGTACCTTTGCTTTTTAATACTAAAATGCAATCGATTTTGAAAATATGAATCTTCAGAAAACTCTTGCATGTTTTTGCACCCGACTCTTGAACTATTGGGACAATACTTGCCTTCTGTTTTTATTCAGTACATCTTATTTAACTAAGCGTGTTGATTATACTCTTCATACACACGAAAATCGGCACCCAAGGCCAGAAATGCTGACCCTAGCATATATTATTTTATACCGGGTGCGTCCTAAAAGTGGCTTACTCCTATAACTTTTTTATTTTTTAGGTAAAAAAACGAGATTTGGTATGTTAGTATATGACATAAATTAGGATTGACTGACGTATTCAATTGTTTTCGGTCACTTCCTGTTTTACCGGAAATGACTACAACTTGTGATTTTTAAATGGCACCCTCGGTATTTTTTACTTTATTCGATAGAAAATAACACTCAGAATAGAATGTTATATGTCAACTTTTGACATTTTCGCATATGGTTTATTTGAAATTACAACTTGCGGTTCGTAACGAAAATTTGACTCGAAATACCAAGTGCGTGGTATCAAATTATTCGTAAAAAAATGCTTTTTCCAAATATGCTAATGAGCCACCACATTTCATTTGAAAAAATTGAGATATGATTAAAAAAACGATTTAACTAACCTAACTTAACTGGCCAGGACAAGACACTAAAAACATTAGACGATCAAATCTATTTTTTCCAAAGGCTCCTTGATTAAGAATTAGTGCTTTAACGTAGCCATGGCACTGTAGATTGAATTTTAAAATACGATTTTTGATTAAGCGAGAATGTCAAAATTTTACATATAATAGGTATGTCAATCTATTCAGAATGTAATTTTCTATCGAATAAAGTAAAAAAATACCGAGGGTGTCATTTAAAAATCAAAAGTTGTAGTCATTTCCCATACAGCACATCAAGTCACATTTACGATGTGTTTACATTATTAGATGTAGACACAGGGTGACACAATTCCCCCGATGTAAATATGCTACGTTTATACATTGTAGTTCAACGTATGTTGCGTGTATACGTATGTATTTTGCTTCGTATATACATATTGTGCTAGATAAAACTACTTCTTATGAACGAATTTAGGAAATAATACAAGTTTTGATGCCTAACTTTTCGTTCTTTTTAAGAAATATTTATTCAATTCTAGTGCAAATTCAATTCAAGTACCTAGTATAACAACATACTAAAATAGAAACACTGGTATATCGCTACGATTTGGTGGACCTCGTTTAGTAATTTTTTTCTCCTCTTTTCCCTCCAGTCAGTTGGTTTATTAGCATACTAATTCATCGAGCACTCTGTTGGACTTTGTTGTATTTTATTTCCAGATTAACAATCTCATCCTTAAATTTTATATGAAACTGATTATTGAATATTAAACATATCTGTGTATATTGATCCATCAATAACTTACTGAATATCAGTGTAAGAAGTTCTTTGAAGTGTTTAAATCTTTCTTTTTCTGGTCCATTTAGATTTTTATTATTTCCAAACTAAAAAAAATTATATTGCAGAGCTAACTCAGCTAACCTCTTTATCATTATACGAGAATATTTGGAGTTTTCATTCATTGGAGTCAAAATTTGGTAAATTGGGTATCGAGTAAGGGAAGAGTCGCTACTATAATATTAATAATACTCTTAGGAAGGTGTAACAAGGTAATTAAAAACTTGTACTTACCTTAAAATCTCTTTTAAACTACACACAAACAGAACATTTATATAGAGCTTCCGAATGATAAAACAATAATGGCTGCTAACACATACCACTCCTAGAAAGGAGAAAGGAATGAGAACACATAAGATACACTTAGTCGGTGTGTCTACGCTGATACTATCCGCGCATGCGCACACCTTTATTTCAGGCTAGAATGTAGACACAACAGTACACTATTACAAAGTGTCTATATAGATATTTATGTTATGTGTATACGTCACATTTTTACAAGGTGTGTACTATAGGCACAACTATGACACGAAATATCACACATACATATGACTTATACATTGTATGTCTCATATACCGACGTCAGATTTCATCATTTTAATAATTATTTGTTACGTTACAAAAAACTCTTTAGAATATTGAGTGCATACGGTATACAACTAGTATACACTGTATCACACAATTATATCAATATAAACCTGCGTGTATCTCATATGTATATGTTAGAACTAGATGAACACTTAGGTACACTTTAACATATGTTGTTTCTTATGTGTCTCCCTTGTAGAAACGTAATTTCATTTGGACGTGCTATATGGATTCCGGTGAAACAGGACATGACCAAAAACAATTGAATACGTCAATCAATCCTAATATATGTCATATACTAACATACCAAATCTCGTTTTTTTTTTATCTGAAAAAATAAAAAAAAGTTATAAGGGTGAGCTACTTTTGAGACGCACCCGGTACAGTATGCCTTAATTTTATTTTTTATCGACAGTATAAAAAATAAAAATGTACCCATCTCATGGCCTTGAATATACACGGTGAGTCTTAAATAAGTGCAAATATTTTTAGAGGTAGTATACCGTATGATCGAATAAAAACGGCGCCGGCGGCGTCATCGATGGCTATGAAATGAAGATCGCTGTCATTTTATATGTAAAATCTTATGAGAAATGTCATCGATCGTCATTTCATGGCCATCGCTGACGCCGTTTTTATTCGATCATACGGTATTTCGACCCCAGAAACACGATTATGAGGTTTTTTCGCAAAAAAAAATTGAAAATTTTAAATTTTTTGAAAAAATTTTTGGATTTTTTTTAGTTCTTAGTTGAAAAATATAATTTGTTGATAATATGGCAACATAGGTAGTAAATTAAATATACAAGAAAGAAAACCCAGAAAAGTTCCAGTGGTTCTCAAAATTTTAGCAAAAAATATTTTTTTTTTAATTTTCGGAGTAAAATATCTCGGTTAGTTTAGATTTATTTGAAAAACAATAAAGAGGAAATATGTTTCTTTTATCGAGATCTACCAGCCCTGAGGATATAAGCACTTATTTAACACTCACCCTGTATAACTACAGTCTTCTAGAATACAGATAGATAATATTATTTCAGAGCTATTTTTAAATAAATCTGATATACGCCAGCTGAAGATAAATTTGATTTAATCATTTATTTTTTAGAGAGTTTTTGTATGAATTATAAAATTTACCAGAAAATATACTGAAATTTAAACAACCTATTTTCTAAATTTTACATATCATCAAAAAATATGCTATTGACGAATTTATTTGTCTTTATAGAGGCATGTTCGATCGCCAAGACAGTTTGAGGTCAGATTACATGAGTGACAGAGAGTCGACCAGATATGGAATTGTTCAACAAGCATCAATCGAGAGTGCGGATTCCAGATTGTGCTATTTGACATCATCCGAGGTAAGTGACATATTGTTTTTGATGATTGCGCAGCCTCGATTCAATTAATAATTACTGCTCATTATATCTTCTCCTTTTTATCTACAGCGTGTGCCAAAATTTTCTGAACAAATCGAAAAAAATATTGAGTGATAGAAAAAAGTTTATATGGAATTAATTCAGCATATCTATCAGAATAATATATTTTGACATCATTATGTCGTCTTCTTTACGTGTTTTTCAATTTTGCGGAAGAAAAATATTGTTTTATGTAGCTATTTTTTGTTAAGTTTTTGATATCTATGAGAGTATAGGTAATTGTAATTAATTAAATAATTTTTAAGTTCGAAAAATATTCGCTTGTGAACATCATCTGTGTTAGCATCAGCATCTGTTAGGGCCAATCAGAAACCGGCAATTTCTGAAAAATATGCACGTGAAAATGGATAAATATTTATATTGTGATGGCTGTAAAATATTTAATAACAGGTAGTTTATACTTCCCTAATCATTTTTTAATAATTATAATTACAATAACAATATTTCAAATAATTCATTATGGGCCTATTTCTGAGAAAATTTCCATGTTTCTGACTGGTCATGACTGCATGATAAGAACCCTAGAGGGCATTTTTTTTTTCGAACTTGAAAATAATTTTCAGGGATTTTTTTTTGGTCGAGTTACTAAGTGGATTTTTTCCCAAAGTGCCACGAAGTCTTAGTTTCTGAGATATATCCAATATTTATTCTTACTTGGCCATCCGATACATAGACATAAAAATATAGACGTTTTTAGTTTAAAAATTAAAAATTTAGTGAATAGTATACCGGGTGCGTCTCAAAAGTGGCTCACCCCTATAACTTTTTTATTTTTTTAGATAAAACAACGAGATTTGGTATGTTAGTATATGACATAAATTGGGATTGATTGACGTATTCAATTGTTTTTGGTCACTTCCGGTTTCACCGGAAATAACTACAAATTTTGATTTTTAAATGGCACCCTCGGCATTTTTTTACTGTATTCGATAGAAAATGACACTCTGAATCGAATGACATATCATATGTCAATTTTTGATATAGTCACTCAAAAACAAATTCTATTTTAAATTTCAATCTAGAGTGCCATGGCTGTGTTAAAAACACTAATTTTTAATCAAGGAGCCTTTGAAAAATAGATTTGATTGTCAAATGTTTTTAGTGTCTTGTCCTGGCCGGTTAAAAGATGCCCAAATCGTATCTTTAATAATATCTCAATTTTTTCAAATGGAACTAGGGTGGCTCATTACCATATTTGGAAAAAGATTTTTTTAAGAATAATTTGATACCACACACTTGGTATTGTGAGTCAAATTGACGCTATGAACCGCATGTTACAATTTCAAATAAACCATATGCCAAAATGTCAAAAGTTGACATGTGATGTCATTCGATTTAGAGTGTCATTTTCTATCAAATAAAGTAAAAAAAATACCGGTGGTGCCATTTAAAAATCAAAAGTTGTAGTCATTTCCGGTGAAACCGGAAGTGACCGATAACAATTGAATACGTCAATCAATCCCAATTTATGTCATACAGTAACATACCAAATATCGTTGTTTTATCTGAAAATATAAAAGAGTTATAGGGGGTGAGCCACTTTTGAGACGCACGGTATTGTTTTATTAGAAGTAAAAATAGCGAGGCTGTACATTTGATTAGGCTGTACGCCGACAAACAGGCGAACCACAAAATAGCCATTTATGTAACAAGTTGCGAAATGAATGTGTTTTAAGCACGGGACGCAAAATTGTCCAACGAGGCGAAAGCCTATTTGGACAATGCGTCGATTGCTTAAAACACTCTTTTCGCAACGAATTTCATACAAGATTTTTTGTGAAAGCGGATAATTTGAGATTTTCATGCTATTATTATTATTTATTTTTAAACATTTTTTAAAATGTTCTGGTAATCGGTTTCTAAGGCATTGTTATGCATTGTTTAATGACAAAGTTTTGTCAGGTTCAAACATCGCTGTATTTTCTACATTTCATTTTTTACTTTTAGGTACTAAAGCCTAAACAAGTGTCACTTTTAGATACTAGTGCCTAAAAGAATGTCATTTCAATCAATCTCAAATAAATATCAAAAACTGTCAATTTCGAGACGCTTTCACAAAAAATCATTTTTACTCCGAATAGAATATGCTATTTTTTTTCAAACGCCACAAATCATTTTTTAAACAATTTGAAACGTTCCAAATAACATAAAGGATTTAAAAGTAATACCGTGTATGTAATTATATATCGAGAAACTGTGGTTAGGCTCATTGCATTTGACTCTTTATGTCAGTTTAATAATATATTTTATCTATAACCGTTTAGTTATAACGTTTTTACATCCTATTTTTTTTGTATTTCAGTTACGTTATGAGATTCATTACACAACTAGTGGTGTTATGAATCTATAACACAACTAGTTTCTATAATAATGAAAAACAACTACGAGCATCTAAATATATTAACTTTTCCGGCAATAATGATTCCGTGGCACGTACTGGGGCGACTTCTACATCTGAAGGGAGACTTTCGGAATCGCTCATCGTAATTTTTAAAATTATTTTTCTGGGCAAAAAGTGCTCGCGTTTACTTGACAGGGCAAACTGACTTTTCAGAAAAAAATGTGACAAATGTCATAGTTAAAGATGGGCGACTAATAAACGAAAATTAAAACAGCATTTTCTTATTTTTCGGTTGTAGATAAAACATTGTACATGACACGTGCGTTTAAACATGATTACAATACTCGTGTGATTAGAACGACTCGGTCTACGACCTCGTCGTTCTAATCGTTCACACTCGTTGTTGTAATCATGTTCATAAACACACTTGTACGTAAAAGTGCTTTACTTCTATGCCTAGGCGTTAAAATTACTTTTTGTCAATCACGGTGCAAAAATTAATACTTTTGTGACGTTTGAAAAACTTTTTTTTTGTAGTTAGCCATCATAACAATTATCACATGATTTATGTTCAAAATGTACTCCTCTGTTCTTGTGTACGGGCATGCTGACTTGATTTCACATTATTTTCTTTCGAAAATACTTTTTATCGATTTGTTGTGAATTTTTTGGTACCCCCTATAAAATAATATTAACCAGTATCGCACTATTATTAGTATCTAGTGATTTGATTTTAATCCCACATCATCAAGTCGACAGAGATGATTAAAAGGTAGCTTTGATCTGAAAAGAATGAGGCTTATTTGATAGTACCCTTGTTTATACAGGGTCCGGCAGTAGTGCGTCAGGCATCTGTAGGTCCTAGAATAAAAAACTTGGGAATTTTGTTTAAGTGCAAACCTAAAGCATGTACTAGGATGTAATTCAGGAAAATATTTTAACTTCTATAGGGTGGCTCAAAAAAGTGTGAGTGGATCGGGATGATTTTTTTTAAATGGAACACCCTGTATATTATTGCATTTTTGGCTTCCTTTCAGATCACTTTACATAAACCTAAGACATGAGTAAATATATAAAAATATATAAAAATTATATATTTTTCAGCCTTTTTTAAAAAAAATACTAATAATACAAGAACTGTCCTAAAATCAAAACTGTATTAGATATTTACTTTAGATGGTCTGTACTTACTTTGCTATAAATATGGAAATCGTAAATCATACAGGAGGTTCAAAATTCTACGCCAAACTTTCTAAAATATACAATAATTTTTCTTTGTTTTTTTTTTAAATGGGACACCCTGTATATTATTTTTTCAATAGATGGAGAATTAAAAAATGAAAATTTTTTGCATTTAAAGTATTTCAAAATTTTTAACGGTTTTGCAGATATTCCCGGTTTTATATTTCATATGGCATTTTCCACAGTAAATTTTTATCAAAGCCACCCAATTATTTTTCTCTCTTATTTTACCATTGAAAGCGCCTTATGAAATAATACTGCGTGTATCCGCAAAACTATTAAAAATTTTGAAATGCTATAAATACAAAAAAGGTTCATTTTTTAATTCTCCATCAAATAAAAAAATAATATATAGGGTGTTCCATTTAAAAAAACGAAGTAAAATTATTTTACATTTTTGAAAGTTTGGCGTAAAATATTGAACATTCTGTATGATTTACGATTACCATATTTATCGCAAAGTAAGAATAGACCATCTAAAATAAATATCTAATATAGTTTTGATTTCAGAACAGTTCTTGTATTTTTAATATTTTTTTTTAAGAAGGGTTGAAAAATATATATTTTTGATTTATTATTAATATCTTTGAAACCACTGAAATAGATTTACTCATATCTTAGGATTATGTAAAGTGATCTAAAAGGAAGCCAAAAATGCAATAATATACAGGGTGTTCCATTTAAAAAAAGTCATCCAGACCCACTCACACTTTTTTGAGCCACCCTATAGAAGTTTAAATATTTTGCGGAAATACATCCTGGTACATACTTTAGGTTTGCACTTAAACAAAATTCTAAAGTTTTTTATTCTAGGAGTTACAGACGCCCGACGCACTATTGCCGGACCCTGTATACAAGGATAGTACCTTTTAAATCAAAAACGTGTTTGTGAATTATTAAAAAATATTGAATATAAACTGGTATGCTGCGACATTAATGACAATTTTACTATATTCTTGTATAAAGTGTGCCTCTTTTGATTTACTGTCAAAATTGGATTAAAAATAAATTCATTCAAGCATATACTCTCAAATTTTTAATTAATATTAAATTTTTTAAGTGAAACTATTAAAATAATAGAATAAGTAGGTATTGTTTATTATTAAATACAATTATTCGAATTTGATTTGGTTTATAAATTTTTATAGTTTTTAACTCAACATTCTATATTTTATAACAAACAAAAAGAGGTAGGTTATAACTAATGGTTTTCGAAATACGAGAAAAAAATCAGTTATTTGTGTTTATTCTATGTAAATATACCATCTTCTATAGGTTTGTATCAACGCTATTTTATTTCCTACAATGGCAATGTATTAAAAATGTTTTTCAGTGTGAT